AAAACCCTCCCATCTTCACTAACAATGATTTTGAAAAGAAATGTCCCCATATCAAAAACAATATCTCGGTCAAACATAATTGAGGTTCGACTTTACGGGGACCCCCAGACCGACATAAAGATAGTCACGAGGGAGCTTTCAAAAAATTTCAACTTCAATAAAAAAAAATTAAAGTGGGCCCAAGAAAAAAATTCCAAACCCGATAAAAAGCGGGGGAAGATATATAAGAACAAGACCCCAACTTTCCTAGAAAGTTTTAATTTGGGGGCATTGATGTAGCAAAAGGCTTATTCCTCTAAGAAAAAGGGGAAGTTAAAAATAAAAGAACGGGCCTCCTTTACAGGGCGACGGAAAAAAAATAACAGGGGGCTAAAAGAGGTCATTTTCGAAATGCTAGGGGACATGGTCAGAAAAATACAAAATCGAATTAAAAAAGGGGAACTTTAGAGTCGGGAACGCGGAAGAAAAAAACCCATAAATAAATCGAAAAAAACCCCAAATTTTATTTCTTCATCCCAAATCAAAGTCGAAAAACAACGTCCGTTTTGGGGCCCCCCACTTAAACAATATGGGTCCCACAGAGACAGTAAGGAAAAATGAGCCCCCAAAAGCCCAATATGACTCTTTTTTAGAAAGCCGCAAACCCAGACTAAGTCGAAGACCCAAACAAATTTTTTTTATGAGAGGCCCAAAATTTTGGGTTAACAAAACATCCGATGTTATCCCGACCCAAATGACTTCGAACAGGGGGATAAAATGACATGCCCCTTCACTCTGCCCGGGCCCAATCTGGAACTCCCTTTCACAAGAACTGAAGAACCCTACATGAGCCCTTTTTCCTCCTATGGAAGGGAGCATGGACACGGGGGTCGCCCAATTACTAAAAACAAAAGACATAGCCCCACTCCAAAAGGGGGCAGTAAAGCAACACAAAAAACTCAGACCAAAGCATAACATTTAACATAAAAATCTTTGAAAGGGTCCTAAAAAGCAAGATCTCCACCCCTTAGAAAACCCCTCATTAAAAACCCAGGGCAAATGGGTTTTGAAAGTCGCTCCCGTCTGTTTTAATTTGGGTCCTACGACAAGGGCCCAAAAGCATGAAGAAAAAAGAATGCAATGAAATTACAGACTTTGCAAAAGCCCTTTGACAAGTGTGACCCGGTTAATAGCGCACAAAATGCGCGCTAAAGGAAAACAGGAAAAGTCGGTCGATGGATCTATAATTTCCTCACTAACAGAACACAGAGAGTATTTCGTCAACAAAAGAAAAGTCCGAGGCAGCTACGGTGAAAAGCTCTGTTCCACAAGGCACAGTACTCGCCCCCATCTTGTTCCTCATCCTCATATCCGACATAGACAAGGATGGTCAGCCACAGCACCGTGTCTTCCTTTGCAGATGACACCCGAATCTGCATGACAGTGTCTTCCATTGCAGCCCCTGCAAGGCTCCAGGCGACATCAACCAAATCTTTCAGTGGGCTGCAGAAAACAAGATGAATTTTCAACGATGAGAAATTTCAATTACTCAATATGGTAAACACGAGGGAATTAAATCTCCATCAGAGTACAAAACAAATTCTGGCCACAAAAATAGAGCGAAAAAACCAACGTCAAAATGGAGTGATCATGTCGGGGATTCACCTTCAAGGGCCCCAACATTGTTCAACGCATCTGTAGAAAAAAGACAGGATGGTAATGGAACCTTTAAAATAGGGGGGCCAAGCCCCTGATACACTCTTCAGGGCCCTTGTTCTATCTAGGGTGGGAAATTTTCTGCCATAACGCAAAATTTCAAGGCAGGTTAAAAGCTGACCTAGAAAATGTACAGAGAACCCTTTACGGCACCCCTAACGGAGATAAAAAAACCCAAATTCTGGAGGCCCTTTAGGGTTTCCCAAACCTGATTCCCCGGAAGCAGGGGGAGAAAAAACATGATTAAATTAAACCCGGAAAAAACCTAGAGGGGTAGTACCCAACTTCCCACGAAAATCACTCACTACGAAACAAAAGACTTTGCAGACGATGCAACATCCCCCCAAGAAAAGCAGGGGGGCTTACACGTTAAGAGACCCTACAATAAGGTCAGGGGCCCGAGTGTTTAACACCTCCCAGCAAACATAAGGGGGATTCAAAGTCCCTGGCAGTCTTAAAGCTGGCAGGAAAACCCTAAAGTGGGTTTCCTGCCCCGTCGGGTGTGGCTCGTACATTGGGTTTGCGTGCGCCAGCGCAAAACCTGGTTGATCAGGCTCTACCCACCAGGAGGCCTGGTCACAGAGGGGGCGCGGGGGGTTGCCCCCCGGAATTCTGGGGAAACTCCACCCCGTGAAGTTTGGTGACATACGTGATGGATGTGGGGTGCGAGTACTTGAATTTCCCTCAGCCCCACGCTTGCCCAACCAGGCAGCTACAGGAGGTTGGGCCCCCTTCCACGTTGACAATATATAGTGTTACCACTAACAAGTTTTTTATATCTTAACCCTCGTTATCTCCTTTCAAACCCCCCGACAGCTTACACGGTGAGGGGCCCCGGTTTGATTCCCGGCGAGGGTAGAAACGTTTGGGGGTGTTTCCTTCACTGGTTGTATATGTTCACCCCTCAGTAAAATGGGGTTTTGGGTGTTAAGGATTTGGGGTGGGTCCCAAACCCCGGGTTTAGTGGGTGGGGTGGGTCACATCCTGGGTGTTAGGGATGGTGGGGTTATCCCGGGGGTTAGTGGGCTGGGGGGGGTCACACCTGGGGGTTGTGGATGGTGGGGTTTCATCCTGGGGTTAGTGGACTGGTGTGGGGCCCTCCTGGGTGTTAGTGGATTTGGGGTGGGTCACATCCCGGGTGTTAGTGGACTGGTGTGGATCACATTGGGTGTTGTGGGGGCTGGTGTGGATCAAATCCTGGTGTTAGTGGCTGGTGTGGGTTACATCCCGGGGTTAGTGGACTGGTGTGGGTCACACCCGGGTTTAGGGACTGGGTGGGTCACATCCTGGGTGTTAGTGGACTGGTTGGATCAAAATCCGGGGTTTAGGGATGGTGTGGATACATTGGGTGTTAGTGGGCTGGTGTGGGTTAATCCTGGGGGGTTAGTGGATGGTGGGGGTCACTCCCGGGTGTTAGTGGATGGTGTGGGGCAAATCCCGGGGTTAGTGGGTGGGTGGATAACCCGGGGGGTTAGGGACTGTGTGGGTTAATCCCCGGGGTTGTGGCGGTTGGGTCAATCTGGGGTTAGTGGATGGTGGGGGGATCCTGGGTTTGTGGACTGGTGTGGGTACTTCCTGGGTGTTAGTGGACTGGTGTGGGTGGCATCCCGGGTGTTATGGATGGTGTGGGTTACTCCCGGGGGTTAGTGGGCGGTGTGGGTTAATCCGGGGGTTGGGACTGGTGTGGGTTACATCCTGGGGGTTAGTGGACTGGTTGTTGGTCACATCTTGGGTGTTAGTGGACTGGTGTGGGTCACATCCGGGTGTTAGTGGGACTGGTGTGGGATGGCCCTCCTGGGTGTTAGTGGACTGGTGTGGGTCACATCCTGGGTGTTAGTGGACTGGTTTTGGGGGCAATCCTGGTGTTTTGTGGACTGGTGTGGGTACATCCTTTGGGTGTTAGAGATGGTGTGGGGGACATCCTGGGTGTTAGTAGGATGGTGTGGGTCACATCCTGGACAAAGACCCAATTTGTGGGAAAAGTTTCAGCATAACAAGGGTCTTTCTATTAGTATAGTATTCATAATGCATTTTTGGTTGTATAATTGTACGACTGGTGTAAATAAAGATACTAGAATTTAAAAAACCACCCCCTGCCTTAGGGACTTGGGGCCCGCCACGCCAGTGTACTACCTGTTTGTGGCTGCAGGGGTCGAGCACCCCTCCTGAAAGGACAAGTGTAAGAAAACAACCCACCCCCTGCCTTGGGGCTTGGGACCCCCCACTGCCAGTGTACTCACCTTTTTTTGGGGTGCAGGAGCGAGTCACCCCCTCCCAAAGGACAAGTTAAGACAACAACCTACCTCTGCCTAGGGACTTGGGCCCCCCACTGCCCGGTACTCCCTGTTTGTGGCTGCAGGAGTGATCCAGTCCCCGAAAGGACAATGTTTAAAACAACATACCCCCTGCCCCTTTGGGGGTTGGGACCCGCCACTGCCTTATCCCGTTTTTGGGTGCAGGGTCGAGTCACCGCTCCTGAAAGGACAAGTGTAAGACAACAACCTCCCCTCTGCCTTAGGGACTTGGGACCCGCCACTGCAAACAGTGGGTGGCATTCTAGGTTGTTGTCTTACTGTATTTAAAAAATTTCTTACAGCAATACACCAACCCCAGGATACTAGCTGACGATATTTACCCATGGTTTACCACAAAAAATCTAAAAAAATATATTTAGTAAGCAAGAGATACCCGAATGAGACAGAAATATATTTTTATGTATACATACAATCCTAATGTATGTATTTGTGTGTGTGCA